GTCTGCAGGTCTAACACTGGGCCTGGGGAGTATGTTAAGCCAGCACTCCATGTGATCCTAATGCAGCAGGCCCATAGGCCACATTCCTACAAATACCGCCCTGGGCATCATAAGGGGGCAAATCCGAAGTAGATTTCACAAATGGACCCTGTCCTCAAAGAGCCCCTTGACCTAGCAGGAGGAACATAAGTAGTCAGGTAGGACCCCACATGTCTGACTGGGCCCTGGAGATTAGAGCTGATAGGAACTGACTCAGGCCTGGGGAGAGATGACGGAGAAGTGATAGATGAGCTGGGCCTGGAGTTCTGAGAAATTGTTGGCTGTGCAGGCATGCCTCATTTTATTGTGCTGCACTCTATGATGCTTCCTAGATGTTGCATTTTTTTACAAATTGAAGGCAAGACCCTTCCCCAGCAAAAATATTAAAACTCACCTGATTGCGGTGGTCTGGGACCAGACCGTCAGTATTTCCGAGGTATGACATGCTGAGGTCATCTTGAGCACCTTGGGATGTACATGGTGGGTACAATAGGTAGTTTGGGTTTGGGTTTGGCCTAGAAGATTTGCCAACATTAAAAAAAAAAAGTGATACTATTCCATGTTGGCAAGGTGGCCGAGAAGCTGGCCTTGGGTGCTATTGGTGGGCGAACTGATTGGTAGAACCGTTCTGGAGGGCAGAGCCAGTACTTTTAGGTAAAAAAATCTTACACATCCGTATGTTAACTGAAGCAGAATTTGGAAATTAGAAAATAGAAATAATCTAAATACTCAACAGTAGATTATTAATTAAATTATTAAATCCATCCATAGAGATGTAATACCTTGGTCATTAACACTAATGTTTTTTACAGAGTACTTAATGCCATGTAGTAAATGCTCATAACCTATTTGAAAATTTAATATGTAAGGAAATAATGTAATATTCTAATAACAAATAAATGTGTGTATGTTGCTATTACTATAATTTTTACAAATATTTAAATATTAAGAAAATGGGCTCCAAAATATATAAACGATTCATATAACTCAACAACAAAAATAAACAATTAAAGAACAGGCAGAGGATCTAAATAGACAGTTTTCCAAAGAAGACATACAGATGGCCAACAAGCGCATGAAAAGATGGTTGGCACCACTAATTATCAGGGAATGCAAATCAAAACCACAATGAGATATCGCCTTACACCTGTTAGAATGGCGATGACCGAAAGAAAAGACATGACAAGTGCTGGAGAGGCTGTGGAGAAACGAGAACTCTTCTCTGCTGTTGGTGGAACTGTAAACTGATGCAGCTACTCTGGAAAACAGTCTGGAGAGGCCTCAAAAATTGAAGACAGAACTACGAAATGATCCAGCTTTTCCACTTCTGGGTGCTCATCCAAAACTCTAATTCAGAAAGGTATCTGCTCCCTTATGTTCATTGCAGCATTATTTAAAACTGCCAAGATCTGGAAACAACCTAAGTTCCCATTGATGGATGAATGGATAAAAAAAAAAAAAAGTTGGGGCACACCCTGGCTGGTTTGGCTCAGTGGATAGAGCGTTGGCCTGTGGACTGAAGGGTTCCCGGTTTAATGCCAGGAACATGCTTGGGTTGTGGGCTCAGTCCCCAGTGGGGGGTGTGCAGGAGGCTGCCGATCAATGATTCTTTCTCATCATTGATATTTCTCTCTCTCTCTCTCCCTCTCCCTTCCTCTCTGAAATTAATAAAAATATTTTTATAAATGGGGGGGGGAGCACATATATAGAATGGAATACTACCTGGCCACTAAAAAAAAAAGGGGGGGGAGAGGAAATCTTGCCATTTGCAACAATATGGATGGACCTTGAGGGTATTATGCTAAGTGGAATAAGTCAGAGAAAGATACATACTGTATCATTTTACTTAGATGTGGAAACTATACAACAAGTCAAATGAATAAGTAGAACAAAACAAAAACCTCAGAGATAAAGAGGATCGATTGGTGGTGACCTGAGGAAAAGGGGGTGGAAAAGGGCACATGGGGAAGGGGGTCAGTTGTGTGGCGATGGATGGGAACTAGATCTATGGTAGTGATCGCTTTTTGTGTATGCAAATACCAAGTTTTAATGTGTACCCCTGAAACTTACATAATGTTCTATACCAACTTGACCTCAACTAAAGAAACAGGGTGGAGGAGAAGGATGGCAGACGGAGGGCAGACCGTGACAGGCTTTGAGAGTCATTCTGAAGGAATGATCCTGGGGTGGTTTTGTCGGGATCTGGGGACTCCGGTGCAGGCCACATCCCACCTCTGGTCTGGAAGCCATTCGTGAAGGAGAGTGGTGCCCCTTCCTCTGGTTGTTCTTTGGGGGAAGAGCATTTTTCGTGAGCTTTATGATCTTATTTCAGGCAACCTGAGGCCCCTGGCCGCCTCAGCAGGCTACCAAACCCTGTGGAGTCTCTGTTCCTGCCATCCTTTCAAACATATGCAGTGTGTGAGCTCTTAGAACGTGCCAGGTATTAGAGGTGCTTTATCTCCTCTAACCCTGAAAACCACCTCAGGAGGGAACCAGGGTTTGGGGAGGTCAGACATCACTCAAGGTTCGATTTAGGATTTGAATCCAGATCTGGGCCGCCCGGAGCTGGTGATCACACTGCTCCAGTCTCTAGCGTTCTGAGTGCCCTGGGGGAAAGGAAGACCTCCTCCCCTCCCCTCACAAAGGAGGAAAGGGATTGTCCAAGTGCGTGGAAGAGCCGGGACAGGAGCTCAGGAATTCCCACTCCCATAAAAACGTTGCTTCAATTAATGGAACCAGTGGTGGCAAGAGGGATGAGACAACCATCTGTGCTTATCTCCCTCCTTCCTCCAGCCCAGGGGGAGAGGCTGGCTCCTGTCACTTTCCCAGAATCCCGTGTTGACAGCCTCCCTGGCTTGTGCCTGGCCCAGCCATCTCCCTCTCCCCTGGGAAGGGAGGGCCGAGTCTTCGCTGGGTGGGTGGAGGACTCCGTGGTCAGGCACGCCCAGCCGCTGCGCAGATTTGGGGCACCAGGGCTTGGGGGAGGCACCCTGCCTCCCTCAGTGTGCTAGGGGCTCACACCGTGCCAGGAGCAGAATGTTCTAGAATCTAGGAGCCTTCCCTTCGCTTATCTTCCCTCCCCAAGCAGAAGTATGCTTTCTAACAGCATTCAGTGGTTCTTGAGTTCATGAAATTGTTAATAATTTTTATTCTGATAATTACATGTAAAAATCTGTTGCAGTTTTTCTTTTATAATGATAATTCACAATTGAACATCTTCATAGCCTTTTCATGGGCCAACTTATTATTATTTTTTAATGTTTCTCAAAATGGGGTCTAGAATATCTTTTCTTTCTTTCTTTCTTTCTTTTAAAGAATATCTTGAGAAGTGTACAAAAAGGATTTACATTATTTTGCTTTGGTTCTGGACCAGTGGTCAGTGCCAGATATTGACCAAATAGTCACCTATCTGAGGTGAAATGAGAAAAATGAAAGGTGTGAGAGTTTGTGTAACCTTGGATAACAATGTCATTCCCTTTTCCTGGAAGAACTGGTTTTGAGTTTTTCTTACTATATTATGCAAGGTTAAAATGTCCTCTATTTTATGAAGTGAGTGGTAGTCTGCAAATAATTTTTCATCCCTTTTGCTTAAGAACTCTCCAGTAAACATATTACTCATTTGCCCTGGCTGGTGTGGCACAATTGGTTAGATGCTGCCCCATGCACCAAAAGGTCACTGGTTCTTCGATTCCCAGTCAGGGCACATGGCTGTGTTGTGGGTTCAATCCGCAGTTGGGGTGCATACGGGAGGCAGCCAATCAATATTTTGCTCTCATGTCCATGCTTCTCTCTCTCTCTCTTTCCCCGTTCTTCTTTCTCTAAAAATATATATATATATATATATATATATATATATATATATATATATATTTAAATTATTCATTTGCCCTGGCTAGGTAGCTCAGTTGGTTGGAGCATCATCTGGTAAACCAAAAGTTTGCAGGATTGATTCCTGGTCAGGGCACACACCTAGGTTGCAAATTCAATCCCCTGTTGGGGTACATACAGGAGGCAACTGATGGATGTTTCGCTCTCACATTGATGTTCCTCTCCCCCTACTCCCCCAATTTCCCTCCTTTCCTCCCTTCCTCTGTCCCTTCATCTCTAAACATATCCTCAGGTGAGAATTTTTTAAAATTTATGAAAACTGAAAATCTGGAAGCCACTTACACTGTGATCTAGAAAGCCCTTTGCATCCATCTGTCTCATTTGATCAGATTCTGCCAATGCTGGCCAAGGCTGGTTAAATCGCCCATTAAATCTGGCTCAAATACTTAACTGCCAATTATGCCCTAACCTACCTTGATGGAGGCCTGACCTCCCTTCTCCTCTTTAAACTGGGGACATTCCTATTTCCCACGGTTGCTCTGAAGATTAAGCTAAATAGTGTAGACAGCATAGTGTCCACCCAGTACATCCCAATGCAGTGTCTTACCCCGTCTGGCAAGGTAAGTACTTCTGCCTCCTTAGGGCTGGGAAGCAGGCCCTTCCAGCGGAGATAAACACGGTAAAACCATGGCCTGGACTGCTGATGCTCTGCCCCCAACATCACAGAACTTGAAGGACAACTTGGCTGGACGCTGTGCTAGCCATGGGCCCCGGGAAGAAGGGGGAATTGTCCCTGAACTGGAAGTTGGGAAGTTTTAGGGCACCTGAAGGTCATAGCTGGGGTGAGGGTAAAAGCAGAGTCTGGCCAATCCCGGGAGAAGGAGGAAAAGGCCTTGGTTTGGGGCAGGAGGACTCAAACCACACAGAGGCTTTTCCTGGCCATGGTGAAAAACCCGCGTGGGATCTCCTTCCCCGCGGAGGGCGTGCTGCCTCCAGATGGCGAGGCGGGGGGCCTACATGGTCCCGCACAACGGAAGTCCTGTCTTGCTTTGGAAGAAGGACACTGTGGCAGCCATCCTCACACTGACCTCCCACCCTCCGCCTCCACCTCATTGCTGTGCCGTTTCTTCCAGAGACGCCGGGAACCAGATCAGCCACCCAGACCGGAGCCCCAGGAACTAGGTCCCCTCAATGGGGACACAGGTGAGTAGCCTGCTCCACAAACGCCTTCCCTGACATCCACGAGGTTTCCTGCTTTATAATTAACAAAGGTGACATCGCCACTTAATTGTCTCATGAGATTTTTTAGATAGGTGACGTTCATAGGAGTATCGTGTCTAAAATCAGGGAGGTGATCGTCCTGACCTGTGCTTTCCTGTTCTGGGCTGTGGATACCACACCTGAGTTTATTTCCGCAAAGTGCATTTTCAGAGGGATCCAGGAAAACTGGAAGGATTTCAATGAAGGGAGAATGGCTTATAAGGAATCTGGAAATCGGGCCCTGGAAGGAGCAGTGAAAGGAACAGAGGATGTTTTACCGAGTGTTTGAAGTGCCCTCAATGGAGAAGAAACATAAGCCTTGTACAGCGTGACCCAGAGGTCAGAACTAGGGCCTCTAGGTAACAGGAACGGGCAGGCAGGATTCAGTTCAGCCTCAAAGGATGGTTTTGTGTGGGGATTGGCGTAAAATCCTCAGAGCTGCCTGGTAATAGAATGAGTTCTCCATCGCTGAAAGTGTTTAATTACAGCCTGGAGGCTGTCCGCGATATTGTAGATGAGGCTCAAGTACCAGATAAACAATTGAACCAGAAATCAGTTTCTCTCGCCTGGCTGTACATGAGAATTGCCTGGGGAAACTTCAAAGATACAGGTCCTGGGGCCCCGTCCCCGACCAATGAAATAAGAATCTCTGGGAGTGGACTGGAGAGCCTGCACTGTTAGGGATGATATGCTTGTGAGTAGTGAGCTTCTCGGTAGCTGGGGCCAGTCGGTCCTGGTCTTATGAACTAACATTTGGAACCCTGAGCTGAGTGATCTGTGAGCTTGTGTGGGGCTCTCTGAGCTTGTGGGGGGCTCTCTGACCTTGACCACTGTGACTGCCAGGACCAAGGGTGCTGACTCGCTTCCTCTGCCCCATGGACTGACCTCAGTGTTGGCTTTTCACTTAGCAACCCCAATCCCCATATTTCTCATCATACCCTACCCGGGCCCAGCCTATGAAGGTCTGTGATCATAATAGGAACGTGCAAACAACACTGGTATTTGCCTCTAATGCTTGCCATGAGTCCCGAGGAACAGTTGGAGGCCATTTAGTGAACACTGAGCACTTCCAAATGCTCAGCACCACACTTACTGCTTTTCTTTATTTAACCATTTTTTCTATTTGATTTGAGGGAGAGAGAGAGAGAAACATTGACTTGTTGTTCCACGTATTTATGCACTCATTGGTTGATTCTCATATGTACCCTGACTGAGAATTGAATCTACAACCTTGGTGTATCCAGTGATGTTCTAACCCAATGGTCAGCAAACTGCGACTCGCAAGTTTGACTAATGAGTTTGCCAACTACTGTCATATACTACCCTTTACCTCTTTGCACACAATATGCCACAATTGCCTAATCCTCACAGCTTCCAACTACACGATAACATTTAGTCTAGCAGTGGTCAGCAAACTCATTAGTCAACAGAGTGGCAAACTGTGGCTCACGAACCGCAGTTTGCCTAACACTGCTCTAACCAACCAAGCTATCTGGCCATGGCACACACTCACTGCTTTTCGTGCATAATCAAATGAATGAAATGGTAGTGGAATCGGATTGCGTTGGTTCCCAGCCCTTCTCCCTGATTGTGAAGTGGGAGATCTCAGGCCAATTGCCTAACTCCTCTGTCCCTCAGTCTCCTCACCTGTGAAGTGGGTATCATCATGGTGTCCACCACTGGGTGGTTGTGCAGACTAAGTAACACCTGTGAGGCATTTGGAGCAGAACTGGGCGTGAGCCCCGGCATGCTGAGCTCTGGGTGTTCCTTACCTGCTCTTATTATTTCTATTGCCATTGTTTTCTACTTGAATCATTTCGATAGCCCCGTGAAGAACGTGTTGTTATTGTCCTGATTTCACATGTTGAGTAACTGAGCCACAGAGGGGATGGGCCTCAGATCCTACCCAGAGCTTGTTAAGACTGTTTGGAGTTTCCCTAAGCAAGAGCTAGACTTCCTGTTTGCGGCTCCTTCCTGCTCAGGCAGCTCCTCGCCATCCAGCTGGGGAAATGCTAAAGGCCAGAGTCAGACACTCACAGGCCCCAGCAGGTGAAGCTCATAGGAAGAGGTGAGGGCTGTGGGGACAGCAGAGCCCCCTCCTGGACAAGGGTGGCAGCTGCTCCTCGCCCCAGCTCCCACTTTACAAAGGCACACAACGCCAATTCTTTAGTTTCTGCAGAAAAGCTGAAAATCTGTAGTAACAGCTGCCCAATCATTAAATATCAGCAACTACCCGTGTTTCCCCGAAAATAAGACATCCTCCGAAAATAAGACCACGCATGGAAAGATAAGACATCCCCTGAAAATAAGACCTAGTGCAACTTTGGGAGAAAAAAATTAATATAAGACACTGTCTTATTTTCGGGGAAACAGGGTACTTTCTTTTTATTAATAATTTGGATATTGGGTAGGGTAGTTGGGTTGACCCTGTCCTGTGAGTTAGCAACTGTTCTGTAGATCCCAGGGACCAACACGACACCACTGGCCCTGCACCGAGGAGCCTGCAAAGCCCCAGAGGCTGGGGCTGCCTCTGGAGGTTGATCCCCAGCTGAGACCATTCCTGCAAGGGATCAGGGTTCTCACCCCTCAGCTCCGGCCTCCCACGCGCTCTGTCGCTGTGATTACCCCACTTCCTCCCAGTGGGATTTTACTTATTTTGCTTTTTCACCTGTAGCCACGACTGTCCAGCTCTGTGCATCTGAGGAGGCTGAGCAGCACCAGAAGGAAATTGCCAGGCTTCTCCAGCAGCACGAAGAGGACAAGAAGAAATGGGCACAGCAGGTACGTCCCAGCCACTCTCCTTTCCTCCTGTTCTGTGAGCCTTGCAAAATCCAAGAGTGAGGACCGACTTTTGGCTTTATTGTTGAGGTAAGTACCTCCTATTCCTTTGTCCAAGAAGGGAGTCCTTTATCAGTTGAACAAATATCTCTAACTGCTTGTTTCGTTATATTCATTTTATGTTTCATTATATTTATTATTTGCAAAGGAAGGTGCAGAAACACTAACACAGTTGAAGGGCTTCCTATCTTGAGTGGGCATCAGAATTAGAAGACTCCTAAGTCCCTTTCCTAGGTAATTCTCAGGGATCCCCCTCTAAGCCCTAAAGAAGGCAGTCAGTCACTCCTGCTATATCTGGGGGGTCTTGTGCCTTCTCTGAGCACTCTGATGAGGGGGTGGGATTCTGATCACCTAGCTCCAGGAAGCACCCAAGGGACAGTGAGTGGGTAAGTAGGCTCTGCTGAACCTGCACCTGAACCTGCTCAGTCTCATCCCACTTGGCACTCCTGCCCCCAGGTGGAGAAGGAGAGGGAGCTAGAGCTTCAAGAGAAACTGGATGAGCAGAGGAGAGTCCTGGAAGGCGAGCATGAGGCAGCCTTGCAAGGTAAGGATGGAGCCGTGCTTAGGGAGGGTGTGGGCGGGCCTCCTTCTGGCCCATCTGCCACGTCCACAGGGGGGATTCCCGCCATCCCTCCTCCTGCCTCTGCTTCACCAGCAGTTGGCAGCCGCAGGACTGCAGTCTGTAGGCTCCGTGGCTGGCCCTGTGGGGCATAGCTTTAAAAGTCTGACATCATTCTTGGTGTCACCTTAGTTGGAAGGTGGTTTGTTTGTTTTTTTTCTTTTCCATTTTAAAAGCTGTTTATATTCCTTAAAGGACATTTGGAAAATCTAGACATATAGGAGGATGTTTCATATTTCTTCCCCACAATAATGACAGGGCTTACAGTTTCCGGTTAGATTGATCATTTCTTTCAAATAGCTTCCTTTCCTCTTATGTCACCAAATGTGGACCTCTTAGAAAATGCATAATCTATAGATTAAACAGAAAGAGCCTATTGTGTAGTGGTTAGGATCTCGGACTCCACAGCCATCAGCCTCGGGTTTGAATTCTAGCTCTGCCACTTAGCAGCTGTGTAACCTTGAAGAAGTTAGTTAGCTTTGTTCGTAGAGTGTTTAACTTAATTTTTAGGTAAATAGATAGAATTTTGCACGATATTGAGCAAATAATTATTATCATTATTATTTTATTATTGAGAAGATTAAAATTGTGTGCAGTTCCACCCAGAACTGGTCAGTTCCCCCTTCGATATAGATCCCCTTCATTTGGGGGGTATATACGTAGACTATACATCTTTATACACACACATACTTTGGGGGGAGGAGATAAATTATTGTTTTACTTTGAATTGCATTAACAACTTATTAAACTTCTGCAGCACCAGTTTTAGTAACAACATAGCATTCCAGTGTGCACCCTTGTTCATTTAACCAGGCCCCTTTGGACAGGCATTTAGATCATTCCAAACGTTTGCCAATTTTTACAATAGTGGTGACACTTACAGGTGTGAATCCCATTTTGTAAAAAAAAATGTGGCCACATTCCACACCACTGTCCATCTCCATCACCACCATCCAGTTCCAGAACACTCTCATCACCCAACAGTCACTCCACAAGCCCCCTCCCAACGCCCAGCCCCTGGCAAACACCCACCCGCTGCCTGCTGCCACGTCTATTCTGGACACCCATATAAATGGAAGCGTGCAACCTGCGGCTTCCCTCACCCAGCACATTCCAAGCCTCATTCAGACTGCAGCATGCATTTGCGCTCCATTCCTCTGTTGCTGTTGTTTTGCCCGTTTTACAAAGCACTCCGTTCGTTTTATTGGCTGAGTAATATTTCATTACTATTGGCCTGAATGCACCACGCGTTGTTGCCATTCACTGGTTGGTGAACACACGGGCTACCTCCTCTCTTTGGCTGCTGTGAATGGAGACACTAAGACCCGCACCTGCTTGAGCACCTGCTTTCGGTTCCCCTGGGTGTGCACCCAGGAGTACAATTGCTGGGTCACGTGGTAATTTTATGCTTAAATTTTTAAGAAACCACCAGGTGTTTCCCACTGTGGCTGCCCCATTTGACGTTCCCACCAGCAATGCGAAGGGTCCCAGTTGCACCACAGTGTTTTCTCATTGTGGTTTTGATTTGCATTTCTCTCATGACTAATTTTGCTGAGCGTCATTTCATGCCCTTGTTGACCATTTGTACATTGTCTTTGAAAATTTATATATATTTTTTAACATATTTTTGTTGATTTCAGAGAAGAAGGAGATGGGGACAAATATAGAAATATCAGCGATGAGGAAGAATTATTATTTTTAAAATATGTTTTATTGGGTTTTTTTACAGAGAGGAAAAGAGAGGGATAGAGAGCTAGAAACATCAATGAAAGAGAAACATCCATCAGCTGCCTCCTGCACACTCCCTACCGGGGATGTGCCCTTGACCGGAATCAAACCTGGGACCCTTCAGTTAGCAGGCTGATGCTCTCTCCATTGAGCCAAACTGATCAGGGCTACATATATTTTTGATGCTATTGAAATTGACCTAGAAAATGTTATGCCAGTTTTCCCTTTTTTTTTTTTTTTTTTTTTTTTTTAAATATATTTTATTGATTTTGTACAGAGAGGAAGGGAGAGAGATAGAGAGTTAGAAACATCGATGAGAGAGAGTCATCGATCAGTTGCCTCTTGCACACCCCCTACTGGGGATATGCCCGCAACCAAGGTACATGCCCTTGACCGGAATCGAACCCGGGTCCCTTCAGTCCCCAAGCCGACGCTCTATCCATTGAGCTAAACCGGTCCCGGCCCAGTTTTCCCTTTAATCATCAGTATTTGCATGACCTTTTCCCAGAATTATTTATCTTTCAAAAACACGTGATGATTAGTTGTAGGTAAAATTTTGTACCCTGTTCTTTTTACTTTAACATTCTATAAAACATGTGTCCATATAATTATGCTGCCACTAACATGTTTATGAAAGCTAAACAATTGCATACATGGTTTTTCTTAAGTTACCAGGAGTCTAGCTAGACATCTAGGTTTTAACTATTATAAATAACACTGCACTGAACGTCTTTTGCATAAAGATTTGCACACATTTCACATGATGTCCTCAGATTCCCAGAAATGAAATAACTAGAACAGAGGTCTGAACAATTTTAAGAATCTTGAAATATATTGCAACATTAGCACAAAATGTTTTGAAATGGAATTGAGGTCCTCACCCTGGGAATTTGAAGAGTTGTGTTTTAATATTAATATACCTCATGAAACTGGGCCTGTCTCTTGACCTCAGTGTACTTTTTGTGAGTCTAAAATCTGCCTTCCCTGCCTCATAAGGCTATTGTGGGAAAATAACCCACAATACCTTGCTTTGATAGGATTTTTAGCATTATAAATATATTGATTTAAAAAAATGCCCTATTATAAAACTCTAGAGGAGAAGGGACTGTCTATCTTAAGTTCTTCTCATCAGAATTCTTTCCTGCTTATTATTAAATTTCTTGGCACATATTAAGTGCTACATAAACATGTATTAAATGAATGTACAGCATGGGGAAAATATATGGGCTTTGTTTGGGAGAAGGTGTACAGGTAACTGGGTGAGGATAATGTTGGTTTTCCACATTCGATGACCTTTATTTTTTTCTTTTATTTTCTACTAGAGGCTTTTGTTTTTATGTTTAAAAACAAAATTGACTCTTTGGGGTATACGATTCCATAAATTCTAGCACATGCATAGATTCATGTAACCATCACCATAATCTGGTATAAAACAGTTCTATCACCCCCAAAAATATTCTCTCAGGCTGCCCTTTTGAGCTCATATCCTCCTCTACCCCCCTCCCCAACTGATCTCTTCTTCAGTTATAGTTATGTCTTTTTGAAGCTGTTATATAAACAAAATAATACAATACCATTCATCCTGATGCCTTTGAGATTCATCCAAGTTGTTGCATGCATCATTAGTGTATTCATTTTCATCTCAGAGTTGTATTGCATTGTTCACTCATTCACTTGTGGGACATTTGGGTTGTTTCCAATTTGAGGCGATTATGAATACATCTCTTCTGAACATGTGGGTACAGGTTTTTGTGTACCCATTTCTCTTGGGTAGGAGTTGGATTGATAGGTTACATAATAAATGTAGGTGTAACTTTATGAGAAAAGGCTAAACTGTGGTCCCAAGTGACCATCATTTCATTCCATCAGCAATGCATGAGTCCTACTATTCTTTCTTGCCAATACTTGTCAATATTTTTCATTGTAGTTGTTCTAATAGGTGTGCAGTAATCTTTCTTTGTGGGTTAAATTGACTAATGATATGGGATACCTTTTCTTCTGTTGCTTGCTATCTATATATCATCTGGTCAAATGTCTTTTCAAATATTTTGCCCACTTTAATTAGCTTGCTTGTTCTTACTGTTGAGTTTTGAGAGGTCTTTATATTTTTGGATATGAGTCCTTTGTATTTGCAAATATATTCTTCTAGACTGTGTATTTATTTGTTTGTTTCATTCTCTTAACAGCAAAACTTTTAGTTTTTATAAATTCCAATGTATTATTTTCTATTTTATTCATTACTAGAGGCCTGGTGCACAGATTCATGCCTGGTGGGGTCCCTCGGCCTAGCCTGTGGGGATCAGGCCAAAATGGGCTCTCCAATATCCCCTAAGAGGTCCCAGATTGTGAGAGGGAGCAGGCCAGGCCAAAGGACCCCACAATTGGGGCCAGGGAGGAACCACAGGAGGGCTCTAGGGTATGTCTGGCCTATCTCACCCAGTCTGATCGCCAGACTCCAGCTAACTTACTGGTCAGAGTGTTTGTCCCCTGATGGTCAGTGTGTATCATAGTGACTGGTTGAATGATCAGAGGGACAATTAGTGTATATATATATATATATATATATATATATATATACACACACAATATATATATATATATATATGCTTTTGGTATCATTTTAAAAACTCTTTGCTGAACCCTAAGTAACAAAGGTCTTCTATGTTGTCTTCCAGAAGTTTTATGGATTTAAATTTTGCATTTAGATCTATGTTACCTATTGTCTCCTTTACTATATATCTTTTTCTCTCTCTGTGTGTGTGTGTGTGTGTGTGTGTGTGTGTGTGTAATCATTGCTCTAAGAATTACAGTGTATATAACAGTCTACTTAAATTAATATTTTACCACTTCAAGCGGAATATAGAAATCTTGCCATCATGTATGTCCCTTTAATCTCTCCCCTTTTACTTGTACTTGTCTGATGTCTTACATCGACATACATTGAATAGCCCATCAGGCAATGTTATAATTTTTGCTTTTAACCATCTATCATGTTTTCTTTAATATATTTTATTGATTATTTTAGAGAGAGGAAGGGAGAGGGATAGAGAGTTAGAAACATCGATGAGAGAAAAACATCAACCAGCTGTCTCCTGCACACCCTCTACTGGGGATGTGCCTGCAACCAAGGTACATGCCCTTGAAATCGAACCTGGGACTCTTGAGTCTGTAGGCAGATACTCTATCCACTGAGCCAAACTGGCTAAGGCCATCAATCATGTTTTAAAGAGCTCAGGGAAGAAGAATAGCCTGTTATATTTACCCAGGTATTTACCAGTTCTGTTGCTCTTTCTATATTCTTGAAGTTCCAGGTTTCTCTCCTGGTGTTATTTGTCTCTGTCTGAATAATTTTCTTGAGCAATTCTTTTAACACAAGTCTGTTGGTGATGAATTTCTTTTTTAGTATGCCTTCATCTGAGAATGTCTTTATTTTACCTTTTTTCCTGAAGAATATTTCTACTGGATTTAAGATTCTAGATTTATAGGGGGGGGGGGGGGGGGGTGTTTTTTTTTATTTCAGCAGTTTTTAAACGTGCTTATTCCTTCTAGTCACTAAGGTTTCTAATGAGAAATCCACAGTTGTTCAAACTGTTGTTTTCTCTAAATAAGACACTATTTTTCTGAATTTCTATTTTCCATTCTTTCTAAGAGTACTCACTCTGACTTCATGGAGCTTTTATAATGTCTGTCTTAAGTCTCTGGTAACGATTCTGTGGTGTCTCGGTATTGGCATCTGTTGGATTTCTTTTCGGGCAAATTAAGATTTTCTTTTCCTTTTTAAAAAATATTTTTTTATTGACTTCAGAGAGGAAGGGAGAAGGAGAGAGAGATAGAAACATCAATGATGAGAGGTAATCATTGATTGGCTGCCTCCTGCATGCCCCTTACTGGGAATTGAGCCTGAAACCCAGGCATGTATCCTTGACCAAATTCGAATCCGGGACCCTCAGTCTGCAGGCCAACACTCTATTCACTGAGACAAACCAGCTAGGGTGAGATTTTATTGCTACTTTGTATGCTAAGTATTTGGGATTGTATGCTGAGCCATTTTTGGATTCATATGCTGAGCAATTTTGTATTGTCTCTTTTTGCATATTTGAGTACATGAGATTCTGTATCTTGTTTAAATCTACTGATTCAGTGGTACTTCAAATTCTGGTCTTCTTGCCCAGTCGGCCTGCCATCATTTACTTTTTGGGGTCTAGAAACAGCAGCTTCGTTTATTCTGTTCAGGTTTTATAGCCACATTTAGTCAGAGACTGGATGGAGTGTGCTTCCCTCTTCTTACCTGGAACCAGAATCTGTACTAATGGGCAAATTAATTAGGCAAATTAGACTCATAATTTTTTTTTTAATAAGCCTATACTTTTTATATAGCTGTGACAGGCCCACATTTTTTTTTTTTAATCAATCTTTATTGTTCATATTATTACACAGGTTCCTCGTTTCTTCCCCCCTCCACCAGGTTCCCACCCCACCCTCTGCCCCCTCATCCTCATCCATTGGTGCTCAGTTTATGTTCAGTCTCTTCCTCCCTCCCTTTCCCCGATAGTAAATCCCTTTTCAGATAGCAAATCTGTTACTTAGCATTTTCTCATATCAATAATACCTCCACATGCAAAATGATACACTTCACACAAAAGACATTTCCAAATAGGACAACCAGCCTCATCCAGGCCCCACCCAAGGCACTCACAGGTCAACACCCCAGCACTATACTAACTCAACACATCCAGATCTAAGCCTTCATCACTTGATTCAGCAGACCCTCAAGTTCCCGCAAAAGTTTCCAGCCATGTCTGAGAGGCAGCCATGGGGCAGGGGCAGGTGAGGAGCGAGCTGTTTTGGGCCAGGCTGCTCTGGGCCTGGCCTCTGTTGCTCTGGTTCGTTCCACAACCAGCTGCTCCGTGTCTGGTCACTGCCGCTCCCGACCCAGTTGCTCTGGACTTGGCTGTTGCTGCTACAGGCCTGGCCACACCCGACTTGGCTGCTCTGGGCCCAATTGCTCCAGGCCCGGCCGCTCCGGGCCTGGCTGCTCCCAGCCTGACAGCCGCTGCTCCGGGCCTGGCCGCACCAGACCCGGCTGCTCCGGGGACAGGCCCACATTTTTGACAGCCCACATTTCTATTACTGAACATTCCTTTCTCTGTGTCACTGCCCACTCGGACAGACCCCTTCTGCACCTGGGCCTTTGGCTGTATTAAACGTTCCTATCCTCTGTCCTCTTTCCCATCCCACTATTGATTGGTCATTTCTGTGTTGTCTTCTTTCGGTTAAGACATAGTTGGAATTTTCCAGAAGGTACTTTGTTGAGGAGGTGGGAGGAAAAATATAACCGTATTGATTTGGGGAATGGATAAATCCAGCTCCGCATAGCACTACCCAGCCTGGAACGTCCTCGCATGTCCTTTTCTTGCCCCTTAGAGACATGAGGCCAGGCTTATTGACCCATTTCACCGTCGAGGTAAAAGCACTTCTAGGGATTTTAAGTAAAATATCAAGGCTCCTCCATTTTGAAGAAGCAGGATCTGGACCAGGTAGACTTCCGGGCCCCCAATCTAAGGTGCTTACCATGGTTTGATGAGTCATAACTCAATGATTCATGACTTGGTTAACCCAGCTTACAAGACACTGGCCCTATGCGTTTTCCACAGCATGCTGTGGACTGAGATGGACAGTTTGACGTAAGGCCTTTGGATCTTAGCTCCAGTGGCGTGTGGATGGCACTCACAATCTGCTAGGGTTCATGGTTCCTCGCTGGACATAATTTGTTCCCATTTCCATGAGCTTTTATTAGATATCTACTTTATTTTCGACACGGCTCCAAGCCTATGAGATAGGAGGATGGATAAGCGCATTCCCACACTCTTGGCCTCCGGGGGCCTGCCAGAAGGCTTTAGGGTGGAGTGTCTGGGTGTCTAAGCTCACGGAGGTCTCCTTTCCCTACAGTCCTCCGGGCCTCACAGGAGCAAGAGAAGGAAGCCCTTACCCACTCCTTCCAGGAGGCCAAGGTGGCCCTGCAGGTAAGAGGCAGGGCCATGCCAGTCTCCATGAGAGGAAGGCAGCACGGAGCCCTTAACAGCCGAAGCTGGTGGCCTCTACCTGGGCCTGAGGGACAGGCTGGATTGCCTTCATGTATCCAAACCCCTTGGTATGACAGCCAAGCTTGAGATTAGGGCTGGCCTGTTTTTCTAAGGATTGTTGGGAGGATCTTGGAGACATCATGGGCTGCTGCCACCATGGGATGAGACTGGTGAGCAGATGGATGACTGCGACCTGTGGAAGCATGAAAGAAGGCATCCAACCCAACCTGGCTGGTCAGGGATTTCCTAAAGGGAGTGAGATCGATTCCAGAGCCTAAAGGATAGGTTGGAATTCTTCAGAAGAAGGATAGGAAAGGTGCCTTATGCAGAAAACAAAAACAAACCAGTGTGTACTTCCTAGTATTGGGGGTATAAAATAAAGGCACTGGGAGGGGCCGTCATCATCTTCTTCCTGCCTCTTCAGCAGAGAGGATGGCGGCCCACCCAGTCCCCAGCTTAAAATCTAAAAACAAAACAAAACAAAACCAGTGTGTTTCAAGGCATGAAGGAGAGGGGCAATATGGAATCCCTGTGGTACTAGAAGAAGCTCAAGATGCCTGGAGTGTAGCGTAGAGTGGGAGAGAGAACTGGGGCTGGAGAGGTAGGCACAGGGCAAACGCAGGGGAGCCTGGGCATCCTATTAAAGGGTTGCGTCCTGCACTAAGGGTAACAGGCAAGGTGTGGGTGGAGGAAATTCCTGGCAGGGGAAAGCTGTGGAGGCCAGAATGCACCTTGCAGGTGGAGGAGGGATGTGATCTTTGGCTGCAGGAGGTGGCGTGTAGCGGGAGCTGTGGAGATAAACCTGGGTGAGTGTATTGAGCCCGGTTTGGAGGTGCTGTGAATGCCAAGCTAACACCAGCCTTGAATCCCAGGACATTGTTCCCACGACTATGGAGGGGCCGTAAAGGCTTTAGGACAAGAGGCGGGGCTGGTGTGTGTCAAGCAGTGGCTGGAGTGGTTTGAGCCTGCTTCGTTGGGTGTGGTAGAGCAGGCAGGCTGAGGAACCCGAACGGGTCCCTCTCGGGGAAGTGGAGAGGTCACCCACTGCCTCTGTGAGCCAAGCGTTGATCATCGCTCCTGCTCCAGGAGACCATCGATGGACTGAGCTCCCAGCTGGAGGCCTTCCAGGCCAAGATGAAGAGAGTGGAGGAGTCCATCCTGAGCCGAGACTATAAGAAGCACATCCAGGTGGGTGGCCCTACACCTGGGCCCTTTCCTTCTGGAAACTCCAGGGAGGCCAAAGTCAGGGCCACAGGGAAGGCCAGGCCCTCTTCAAGGACCGGATCAGGCCTGACATTCTTCTCTTCACAAGGGACCAGAAGAAACAGGGTCACGTGTCACTGGGGCAGGGGAAGCAGGGCTCAGAGGGACGCATGTGGGTTATAAAATGCTCAGGCTCTGGATTCAGGGAGAATTAGGTGCAAACAGCAAACTGACCACTCAACACGGCAACTTAACCTGTCTGAGCCACGGTTTCCTCATCTGTGATGTCTCAGGGGATTATTGGGATAGAATGAGCATGTTAAGCACTTACCACGGGCCAAGAAAAGGAGGGGACTTCTGTAAATCAAACCATGAGTTGTTGGAGGCAGAATGGGGAGGAGGGAGACAGTGTGTGCCCTCTACCTGCTGGTCTGACGAAGCCACTCATGTCCCTGTCTAGGATTACGGGAGCCCCAGTCAGTTCTGGGAGCAGGAGCTGGAGAGCTTACACTTTGTCATTGAGATGAAGAATGAGCGTATTCATGAGCTAGACAAGCGGCTGATCCTCATGGAAACAGTGGTACGTGGAGGAAGCGATCAGGGGGTGGGGTCAAGGGGGATGCAACCTCAGGCCTCTGCTCTCTAAGCATTTCCTCAGGGGAGTGTGCAGAGGGTAGAACCCCCTCAGGGGAGTGTGCAGAGGGTAGAACCCCCTCAGTGGATGTGCAGAGGGTGGGACCCCCTCAGTGGAGTATTCAGAGGGTAGGACCCTCTCAGTGGAGTGTGCAGAGGGTAGAACCCTCCTCAGGGGAGTGTGCAGAGGGTAGAACCCCCTCAGGGGAGTGTGCAGAGGGTAGAACCCCCTCAGGGGAGTGTGCAGAGGGTGGGACCCCCTCAGGGGAGTGTGCAGAGGGTAGGACCCCCCTCAGGGGAGTGTGCAGAGGGTAGGACCCCCTCAGGGGAGTGTGCAGAGGGTAGGACCCGGATGAGGCCCACACCAGCTTTAACCTGCCACCCATGCTGAGACTGCTCTGTGGCCAGTCTGGGTGAAGTGGTAGCTCCTTGTCACCTGGGTCCTGCACTTTTCTTTAGCTACTCGTGTCTCTGTCACATGGGTGACGCCAGGGCGTAGCCTGGCTAACCAGGAGGGCCTGGCAGATGTCACGTGTCAGGCTGGAAACCAGACAGACATGGGAGACCAGAGTGAGCGGGACAGGCCTGGGAGCCGCAGGCATTGGGGACCCCGTGGCTGTGTCTGCAGGAGAAGGGGGGCCTTGGAAACCTGGGTTGGACCTGCACAGAGATTCCGTGGCTCTGGAAGACGTGTCTCTGGCCTGTGTGTGCACAACCTGTATTTTAATCAGACATTTAACTTCAAATGTCCCCTCTAAATTTTGTCCAATCATTTTTATGGCTCTCTGAGCATAACAGGCACCCTTCATTTTATTTCTGTATAGTCGATCCCCTGATTTTTGGAGAACCAAGAATATCCCTTCTTTTCTGAAATGATGGCGATACTAGGTGGTTGTGGCTGTATCCTTTTTGTAACGTTCTCACGTGGCCCAATGAAGAACGGCCAGCCCCCTGTGCACTCCTTCGCTTTATATTTTTTAAGTCATTTTGCTCCCTGAATTGTAACATTGGGTCTAGAATGAGTCGGCGTTTTCAGGGCCCACGGATAAGAGGGAGGTGGCGGCACACGTTGTTTGGTGGCCGCCAGAGCCCGTTCTGTTCGTTACAGAAAGAAAAGAACCTGATGCTGGAGGAGAAGATCACCACCCTCCAGCAGGAGAACGAGGACCTCCACGTCCGAGCCCGCAACCAGGCGGTGGCGTCCAGGTAGCTGTTCCCCGGCCTCCGCGCCTCCACCCTTGTGGCCAGAACCTCCCGCTGAGGGTCTCAGAGCAGCCCAGGGGACGGGTTGACCGGCGGGCCCAGGCCTGTCTGGGGAATGTGGCTCCTCCTCCCTTGGGAGTCAGTATCCCTAGGGGCCAACCCTGACTGGAAACCTAAATCAGAGGTCCTGATTAGTATCCGCTTGTCCCCATCCTGGCTGAGTGGGCATCATGGGAAAGCCCAGCCTGAGACCAGCTCAGGGGGCCCCGTGAATGAATGAATGTACGTGAATGCGTCAGATCAAAGGGCTTAGTAAATTAGAGCTGATATCGTATCAGACATAATCTGATGGACACCTATCATCTATCCTCCTTATTACTCTAAGTCTTAGAGTCTAAGAGCTGGCTCCCATCATTCTCATTCCCACGTTACAAACGAGGGGAATGACATTTGAAAAGAGTAAATAACTCGTCCAGGGAAACACAGCTCAGTGATGCGGCAGATTTGAACCCAGAGCTGTCTGCCCGTGAGGACTATGCTCCTTGGTCAGCAGATCAGGTCACCTCTTGCCTGCAAGGGGGCCTGATGGGGCGGCGGGGACCCTGGGGCAAGCAGGTGACCCATCTATGGATGGTGTGCTAGAGCAGTGTTTCCCAAAGTGTGGTACTCGTACCCCCAGGGGTACGGGAAGAGTTTGGTGGGGGTACTCGTTGCACCGGAGTTTGGTGGGGATATGCACTGCACCGTGCTTAGCTGTGCCTAATTCTACGTTCTCATGAGTATGAGGGGTACTCAGCATTACGAAAATTATAGAAGGGGTACACACATGTCAAAAGTTTGGGAAACACTGTCCTAGAGGAACGTGTAGTCTCTGTAGCCGCTGGAGTCCCTGAGGGGCAACTGTGGCCTCTCTCCGCCCCCACAGGCAGCTCTCGGAGGACCTGCTGCTCGCCCACGAGGCCCTGGAGAAGGAGTCGCAGCTGAGGCGGCAGCTGCAGCAGGAGAAGGAGGAGCTGCTGTACCGGGTCCTTGGGGCCGACGCCTCCCCCGCCTTCCCCCTGCCCTCCGTCACGCCCACCGAGGTCTCCTTCCTGGCCACCTAGGCCCAGGGCCTGGGCCACCGTGCCACCCGTGTCACCGCTCCCTCTCCGGACCTTCGGAGGAGACGGCAGGAGCCTCTCATTCTGTCCCCAGGAGGGACGAGGGCGGGAGAGCGATGGGAGCGGGGCGTGTGCCCAGGGAGCCGCAGGGCTTGGGCCACGTAGAATCGCCCTTGGGGCGTCAGAGGCCCCCCGGAAGCCTTCTCTCAAGTTGGCCCAGGGAACAAGCAAGAGGAGCCCTTCTGCCCGTCCCCCCATCTCTGTTCAAATAGGGGAGCTTTGAGGCTTTTCCCAGGGGGAGCCTGGGCCGCTTTGAGCATCGGACTAAGAGGACACAACCTCCTGGTCTTAACCAGTCAGCTTTGCTGCCAGCCATCAACCTACCCCTAGAGGTCCCCACTTCTGCCCTGGCCTTCTCTCAGCCTCTACAGAGGATGGGGGAACTGAACAAATGGCTCCTATGTCATGGCAGTGTCCCGTTGTGGGATTGTCTGAAGGTCAGACTAGGGGCTTCGGGACAGGGGAGGAAGTGGGCCAAACCTTACGATTCACCTGAGAAAGGTGAGCATCTGGGAGGGAGTCAGTGGAGGCCCTTGGGGCTGGCAGTGCCAGGGGCCACCCAGCCAAGGCAGGGTCTGAGCTGGGCATCGGACATGCCACTGCTCCTGCTCCCAGAGTCTGGTGAAGCTAGAGCCCCTCCTTGACCAGGCAAAGCCTGCTCCTCGGCCCTCCAGGTCCTCCGTCTCAGTGCCACGTGGGCACGGGGCCCGTCTGGTGCATCTGAATCACTCCACAGCCAACGCTGGAACCTCCTCTCTGTCCAGATGAGGAAACCTAGTGGGGAGCGGGACTCACGGAGCCAGGACAGGGGCCTCAGCTGTCATTCAGGTCTCATCTTGTGCTTTTTCTTTCTCCCCAGGCTCTGGGAAGATCAAGTCTGGGACAGTCTTTCTCCTCCTTCTTCTCTCTGGCCCCTATCCACTCGGTCTCTCTTTTACTCCTGCTCGCACCTTAACTCCTTCTACCACCCCTGACCCCAGGCCCTAGCACTGGGCCCTCCGCCTCCCCGGCAACGGGGTGGCTGGAGCAACCCACCTGGGCAGGCCAGTCCGGCCCTCAGCCCTCATATCTGTGGATTTAAGATTCTTCTCAGGAAGCTTCCAGTCAGCAGGAGGCTATAATAACAATCTTTCTTGCAGAGAGCATTTTTAATGAAATGCTTTCTGATACACCTCCCCCTCCAGTCTGCATAAAACATTGAAGCAGGTCCTTACCTCTCTTCAACATCAAAGCAGACTGAGATCACCGGAGCCCGAGGGCCTTGCCTGAGGCCCCCAGTGTCAGCCCCCAGCAGGGCCCGCTTGTAGGAAAAGTTAGTCCAGTAGAACTAAGGTTTCCCTCCCTCGCCCCAGACTGCCTTCTCCATTCATTTCTAGTTCTGGGGGTTCCGCAGGGCTAGGGGAGTCCCGCGGTGGGCAGACGGGTTATCCAGGAGCCTTGGAGGGAGCTCTCCATGGACTATTTCACGTAACTTTCCCTAAAGCCTGTTGGGGATACACTAGTTCATTGGACACACACAACCAAGAAAAGAATTAGTGGCCAAGCAATTTGAGCAGCTCCAGATTCAATCCCATGAAGCAGATCTGCCAGCTGCAGGACTTCTCAGAACCTTTAATATGCTAACGTACATTTCAGAGTTCTGGGGAAGAAGCAAAGTCTTCAGCGTTTCCTAGCCTCTGACTGCGCTGCCGGCTGCAGAACGCCCTTTGGAAAGCCTGATTCTGTGGTCGGGGCGGGGCTGGAAAGGGGGAAGGCTGTGGGGAGGAGGGTTTCCCTGTGGTGCCTGGAGGGGACACACTGTGGTTGTAGCCTCACCCTGGGGCAGACAAGCTGTGGAAGCCAAATAGAAACACAATAGCATTCTCCTGGCCTCTGTGTTTTCCTGGGAGAGGGAAGAGGGGGGTCCTGGTGATGACCTCTGCCAGACCATGCATCTGTGAGGAATAATCCCGGGGCCTGGGTGGCCCAGCAGGGTCTAGGCTTCCTCCCGGGGTGCTGGTGCCCCCCTGGCCCTGGCTTTGCCCAGCCCTGTTGGAATGGAGGCTGGCTTTCAGAGCAGGGCAGGGCAGGGCGTGAGGCAGTGAGCATGAAGTGAGGGGTGAAAGTAGAGATGGGACAGTGTAAGGGGTGAAGGCTAAGGTTCTTTCTCTCCAGTGGGAGCACCTCCTTGGCATCAAAAACACCGAAGTTCGCCCAGTTACCTACCCCTGCTTCTGCCCACCGCTCCGTACGCAGATGCCTGCAGTCAGGGAGGGAGCTAGGAAGGCGCAGGGGAGACTCGAGGCCTCCGGGTCACATAGACGCGGGTGGTGGCCGTCCCAGTGCCCTGAAGGTTGGTGGCCCGGCAGGTGTAGATGCCAGCGTCCCCAGCCCGGGCCTCTTCCACGTACAGGGTGCTCCCCGCCTCCTGCTGGGCCTGGCCCTCCCTGCGGACCACGTCGGCCCACTCGCTGACGTAGGGGGGTCGGCCCATCTGTAGGAAAAAGATAACCGTCTGCCAACTTCGCCCAGGGCCATCGCTCCCTCAGGCCCCAGCAGGTAAGAGGTACCACGTGTCCTTCCGGAGAAGGGGAAGTGACTTGCCCAAGACCACAGCTCAGTGTCAGAGCCCCTGAAAGGCCAGACTCTTTGTGGGAAATGCAAAGCTTCTCAGGTCCCTGGAGAGCAGCCAGGGTCTCCTCCCCACTCACAGACATGCAGGAGGTAATGGTGAGTGGGTAGCACTCTGGTTCTGTGGGGATGACAATAGGCACTCCCTCCCCAAAGCAGGGGAGTGGGTGACTCATTATCAAAATTGTCTGGGAAACACTGAGTGAAGCAAAGTTAAATTGGGGAGACACAGACTATAGCGTCTGTCACGTGGGATGCCAGAGCCAGCAGCCAGGGGAAGGAAGGCCTACTCTTGCATGAATTTTGTGCATCGGGCCTCTAGTAAGACTGTAACCTACAATGGAAACCCCATTAGATTATCATCCAATTTTGTCAAGAGAAGCATTACAAGACAGGAGGGAATGGAAGGAAATATTGAAAGATGGGAACCATCAGCTAAGGATTTTATCTGTTAGATATGAAGAAATTAAAGCTTTCCCAAGCAAAGAAATGTTGAAAGGAGCCCCTCTATCCAAGGTCACTCAAAGAAGAAATGTCAGAGTTGGGACTAGAATCCCTGATCATCAGATTCCTAGTCAAGCAGGGGTTCCACTCTGTTGTGATTGTTCTTGGCCCTCATCCTAATCCTTCACTCCCACACTCCTGCCCCAACACACCACCACCACCACATACACACATATCTTCATCCTCAGCTTACCTTCTGCCCTGGATATTCCCACTGGAAGTCCACAGCAATCGCTGGCTCACTCAGAACCGTGCAGGTCACATTGAAGTTCTCTCCCAGTAGGACCGATGCTGTTGAAGCTTGGATGGTGGGTTTGGGGGATGATGATGGGTCTGCCATGGAGAAGATGGGAGAAATAGGGACAAACATGTTAAATTGATTATTATAATGATTGAATGGATGGTTGAAATGATTAAATTGATAAAGGATGAATGGTTGAGGTGGTTGAATTGATAGAGGATGTGCGAATGGTTGTAATGAATTAATAGAGGACGGATAGATGATGGGACAGTTAATCTGATGGACGATGGGTGAATGGAATGGTTGGTTGAAGGGAGGATGGATGCATAATGTGATTTGATTAAGAATTAAGTGGATGGACAGAAAGGCTGAACTGATACACACTAGTTCAGTAGCTGATTGCCTGGCTATTTCTGAACAAGATGGTTGGATACACGGAGTGTTGTGAAAAGGTGGTTGGTGGTTTAGAGCTAATGCACTAATTCCAAATCTGAGGTTCCCAAAGGAGGGATCCCTCCGATATCCTCCCCTGCCCTGCCTGCCCTGCCCTGCCCACCCAGAGACCTAGACTCACGCACAGTTGATGTAGATCAGCATGTACTTGGTAGAGATTTGCCTCACGCCTCCTAGGCTGGCCAAGCAGAAAAGGGAGCCAGCCAAGGAAGCTCGGGGCCGGTGGATGGTGAAGCCCTTCTTCACATCAAAGGAGATGTCCGTCCCATCCACTGGGACCTCCTCTGGGGGGAACTCTCGATGCAGCGTCACCTGGGCCAGGGGGTTGGTCACCTGGCAGGGAAGCAGGACTGGTTGATGACTGCGTAACTGTACCACCTCATAATAATTCTCTGTGGGGACAAAGAGTTCTTCTGGGTCTGGGAAGGAAGGAGGGAGAGAGAAAAATGAGTTTAGGACAGATGTACTGTATTGTTTCCTGATGCTCTGCCATCACTCATGAGCATAAGTCCCTTGAGAGGATTTGAAATTCCCCTTTCCCTGCCCTTCTCTATTCTCCATGTTCTTTCCTCGCCGGAAAGGGGCTCTGGACTGGGAGCTGAAGACCAGCCTGCTAGTTCAAGCTTTTGTCATCAGCTGGTTGTGCATCTTAAGCAAATCCCTCTCTGGTCTTTAGTGTCTTTATTTGTATAATGTGGGGTTCAGATGGCTTGGTCTCTAAAGGTCCTTCTATGTGAAAAGTATTACAGGAAGTACTGAACTTGACGTTGAGGTTTCTGTTTGGATTCCCAATCCTGCCACCCTCTCACTGTGGGATCTTAAGCAAATCACTTTCTTCCTCTGAGCCTTGGTTCTTCTTACATGACAAGTAGGAGCGATTATGGCCTACTGTGCAGAGCTGATAAGAAGCAAATGGGATACTGGATATGAGGCACCAGGCCTGTGAGAGGCACACATTCATGAAACTCTTTCAAGGCACCTGAGCAACATAGTCTCAGGCCAGATTCCTGGGTGCACCATGGTGCAGTGAGTAGGAGCTGCCTGGGGACCAGCTTTCTAGAGCAGTGCCGACCCTAATAGAACTTTTTGTCAGGATAGAATAGTGCTGTCATATGTCACCACTAGCCAAAGGCATTTCAAGTGTAGCTCGTGCAACTGAGGAACTAGACTTTAAACTTTATTTTATGTTCATTAATTTAGATTTAAATAGCCACATCGATTTAGTGGCATCTGTATTAGATGAAACCGCTCTAGGGTGAGACAAATAAATGCAATGGTTAACTTTGGCTGAACATCAGAATCACCTGAAGTGATTTTAAAATAACCAAGTCCTGGGCACCACCCCCTGGACCAAGTAAATCAGAACCTTGCTGGGGGCGGGAGAGAGAATCAGTTGGTTTAAAGTCCCACAGGGGGCCCTAGTGGGCAGCCAGACTTGGGAAGCACTGACTGCTGGCTGCCAAGTCTTCTCAATGTTGGCATTCTGCCCTGGCTCCAGACTTCATCCAACTTGAATGGGCTGGCGCCCAGAAACTTGTTGTTGTTTTTAAGGTGTTTCCAGGTGACACCGAGTCAGGTCAAGGACCTCTCTCTAGGTTGGGTAATCATTCCTGTTATGGTTGGATTTGAGTAAGGGAGACTCCGCGGATTCTAGGGGCATTGTCTGTTCCCTTGGTGGGACAAAGTAGGGCTCCTCAGCTCTCTGTGGAATTAGCCTTGGAACCCCAGAATGTCACAGGTAGGATCTCGGAGACCACTCTGCAATTCCCTCCTTGCACAGGTGGGACGAAGGGGAAAGGCTTAAGACAGTTATGTCTGGAGGGTTTTTCTTGGAAAACCGCGGTTCTTGGGGACCCGGCCCCAGGGCACCTGTGAAGAAGATGAAGGTCCTCCCCTGGCGGTCCTCGCCCTCCGTGCAGGCGGCATCCCGGCAGCCTCGGGCCCAGCAGCTGTATTCCCCGGTGTCCGCGCCCGTGGAGTTCACCAGCTGTAACCGGCTGTGCTGGCTGAAGTGCCTGATTCTGAAAGGCCGTCGGTGGGTTCAGGAGACGGGGTGGGGGGTGAGGATAGGAGGTGGAGGTGGGGGAGGTGGCTTGGGACACTTAGTGGCAGCATTTGGTTGGTTGACAGTCCTCCCTCCCCAACTTCCATCACTCAACTACCCCAGCTCTGCTCCCCCGAAGGAGCCGGCAGGGTTTGTATTGGCCTCACCCACAGTTTGTGGTTGGCTCGCCTATCCCAGACCCAACTTCTAATAATTGGGAAATCTGTTCTCCACTGACTACGCCCACACCGGGTGAGCTGGATCCCCCAAACACCTTTGCGCTCCTGACTTTGCTGTGGCCCTTGGTTCATTCAGGGCAGCAATGGCCCGCTAAGCGCCTGTGCACCTGCTAAAAAAGGCAGAGTCCCCGGAGAGCTCGTTGTAAGAAGCTAAACTGAGAAACAGCAGGCAAACCTTCTGAGCCCAGTTCCACAGCCCAGCCTCTGCCCGGTTTTCTTCTGGACTTGAGTGGGCAGTGCTGGTGGGGCCGACTCGGTCTTTCTTCCTGGCTTCCCGAGGCGGGGCCCCTGGCAGAAGGGTGCCGCCTGCTGGACTGCCGGCCTCTTTGGCTTTGCCTCTGCCACCTTTCCCCCCACGGGCACCATTTGCTGCCCCCAGAACTGTTTGCTGCCCCCAGAACTGACTTCCCAGAATCACGGGAAGCCACGTGTCCATTCTGTGAAGCCTCTCTGCAGCTGGTGGGTCTTGCGAGCCCACCCTACTGCTTCTGTTAGGTGCCTGCAGTTGTACGTCATGGGATGCCCAGGGTGGGTCCCGGGCCACCTCAGTCCCTATGAAAACGGTCTCAGTGCCTATAAACCGCTGCCCAGCATCCTCGGAGCCACCCCGCACCCACCCAGGCTGTGGCAGGAGCACCTCCTCCCCATACCTGAGGCGGCCCTCACCCTCCTCTTCCAGGTACACGGGCACCCGCCAGTGGACCACCTTTCCCCGGCAGCGCAGCTCCAGGGGCTCCCCGGCCCGCAGGCTCAGAGAGTCCCCCACCTTCTGGAAGTGGCCCCTCCCTAATACTTGGGTCAGGATGGAGGGGGCAGGGGCACTGGGAGATGCAGCCTCCATGGGAGTCTTCTTCTGCAGGGGCTGCTGTCTCCGCTCTGGCTTGGGTTTTCTCCTGCCAGAGGCTCCTGAGGGCGTGGCTGCATGGCCATCCTTCTTTTTCTGAGCCTTGGGCGCTCTGCCACGCTCCTGGGTTTCAGCTGCAGGGAGACGGGAGTCTGGGGTCACCAGCCTTCACCATTCGCCTCCACTTCTGTCCTTTCCTCACCCCAGGAGCTGACTGGTCTCAGAGTCCTGTGAGGACCTCGTACACTTATTACTGTTACACAAGTCATTGTCCCTCTTTAGGGAAAAAAACACACACAAACACATAAAATACAAACAAACCAAGAAAAATATTAAATTTGACCCAAAACTTACCATCCACAGATAAGCACCATGAATGTTTGAAGCACATTTCCCCAACGCTATTTTAATGCAAGTATTTTAAATAACTGTTTTGTTAAAAAAAAAAAAAATGGAATAATATAATACATATCTTTAACCTGAATTTTCACTTAGTGATACATTTGGATTACTATTCCATGGCAAACATGTGTACACCAACATTTTTAAAAAAAAAATTTTTTTTATTGATTTTTAAGAGTGAAAAAGAAACATCCATGTGAGAGCAACATCTATTGGCTGCCTCCTGCACACCCCTCTACCAGAGATGGAGCCTGAAACCTGGGCATGTGCCTGACTGGGAATTGAACCAGCAACCTTCAGTGCATGGGATGGTGCCCAAACCACTGTACCACACCATCCAGAGCTGTACACCAACTTTTTTTTTTTTTTTGTTTTTTTTTTTTTTACAGAGAGGAAGAGAGATTTAGAAACATCGATGAGAGAGAATCATCAATCAGCTGCCTCTTGCACACTCCCTACTGGGGATGTTCCCACAACCAAGGTACATGCCCTTGACCGGAATCGAACCTGGGAACTTTCAGTCCACAGGCCGACGCTCTATCCACTGAGCCAAACCGGTTTCAGCAATACACCAACATTTTTAATGACTTGTATATGATTTCATGATTTATTTTTTTTCATTGTTGGGTATTGTTGTTTTTTTAAACATATATTTTATTGATTTTTTTACAGAGAGAAAGGGAGAGGGATAGAGAGTTAGAAACATCAATGAGAGAGAAACAGTGATTAGCTGCCTCTGCACACACCCCACTGAGGATGTGCCCGCAACCAAGGTACATGCCCTTGACTGGAATCGAACCCGGAACCCTTCAGTCCGCAGGCCGACGCTTCATCCACTGAGCCAAACCAGTTTTGGCTTCTTACTCCTTTTTACAGGCTGAGAAACGAAGCCTCAGGGAGAACAGCTGGGCTCAACATATGAACGCGGTGACCTAGAACACTGAAGTCTGGCATCCAAACAGGAAGATTCTCGGGGGGCACTTATCTAGGCCGCTCCAGAGAAGGGATGGTGAGCCGGGACCGGCTGATGGAACACGGACTTTGGAGCCAGTGGTCTGGGCTCTCCATCTTTGTTCTGCTACAAATTAGCTGTGTGGCCTTGGCCAAGTCACTTGATTTCCCTGAGCCACACTTTCTTCATTTAGAAAATGAGAACAAGAACGCCTGCCTTGCAGGACTAGAATGCACCTCGTTTTATGGCACTTCACTCTATTGTGCTGCCCAGATGTTATGTGTTATGTTTGTTTGTTTGTTTGTTTGTTTGTTTGTTTTTACAACCGGAAGGCAAAACCCTCCCCAGCAAGAAGATTACCACTCACTGTATTGCTATACTCGCTTCATTTATGGTGGTCTGAATGGAATGTGCAGTAACTCTAAGGTATGCCTGTATTACATATATTAAACCTGAATATATCTGGCTGAGGTGGCTCCCAGAGCTGGGGCTGTCCTGGCAGACCCGGCAGGGCCCACCACAAGCCCTGATGACAGGGGCCTGCAAACACATCCCAGGACTGAGGACTGTGGGACCCCGTTGGGAGGGGCCCTCAGGGAGCCGTCACACGATGTCTACAGCTTTGGAGCTTCGGGACTGGCCAAGGCAACAGGTCACTTGGGCAAACTGCAGGAAGATGGCAAGTTTTATTTCAGCATCTGATGATGATGATAATGGTCATAACTAAAAATTGTTGGGCCCCTAGGCACTGTGCGAAGTGCTCTCTGTGCGTTATCTTATCTAACACCCACAAAGCCTGCCGATGAGGAAACGAGGATCTCGTGGCTTGCCCACGGATTCTATCGGATGCTACCACGTTATATTATCCATCTTCCTGTGTCTAGTCTCCGTTTTTGCATTTATAAAACAAAGAGGTTCAGTTAAACAAGAGCTTTTCAAGTTTAAAAACAAACCAATCAATAGGTAAAGTCTAGATAGCAGAACCCTCTCTTGAAATATTGAAGGGCCAATGAAAGACCTAGCTGGTTTGGCTCAGTGCATAGAACATCGGCCTGTGGATTTGATTCCAGTCAAGGGCACATGCCTGGGTTGTGGGCTCCACCTCCAGAAAGGAGCGTGCAAGAGGCAGCAGATAAATGATTCTCTCTCATCGTTGATGTATCTATCTCGCCCTCTCCTTTCCTCTCTAAAATCAATATGTATGTGTTTTTTTTTTTAAAAAGAAAGGCCAATGATAAAGCATAATAATAGGATTGTTCTGATAGAAGGGGGTGGAGTTTGGAAACCCACCCATCCAGCTTTTCAACCACTATTTCCCCCCTCTCTCTCCCACCCGAAGGCAGGCAATAGACAACAGGATTATTTCCTTAGAGCTCAGCTTTATGAAACCTCGTCTAGAAGACTCTCAAGGAGCCTTCTCAGTGCCCTAGTTCTAAATGTCTGAGATCACATCACCTCCAGAATTCGCCTTCCCACCCCCATCCCCAACTCCTCCTCCTTCAAATAACCCTCCAATGTCGCCCATCAACCCTTTGCTAAACTCCTTTGTTGCCAGGAAGATGCCTGCCCTTCCCTCCCATCTGAAGCTCCCTAAGTAACATCTGAGAGCACCACGTGGGGATACTGCCAGGGGCCAGGCAGCATCTGGAAGAGGAAGTCTGGGATGACAGCATCTCTCCAAATCCTGTGCCAAACCCAGCTCTTCTCTCGCAGAGATTATTCCAGTCCCAACTCTTCCGGGGACGGCTGGAAGTGGAGAGATGGAGGAAGTCTCCCTGGGCCCGCCGCCTCCCCTAAGATCTGTCTTCCATTAGGTTCTGGACTAGAATCTTGCAGGCTGTGCCCCTGATGGAGCCTTCCAACTGCTGCTCTTTGTGAGCAAAATATAGACTCCTAGAGTCAAAGAACCTAGAAATGATCACTCCCGACTTTTAGAATTATATAATCTTGGATTGGCCAGCTTTAGTCAGGGGTCTTTCAAGTTAAAATAACATTGCTACCACTTGTTGAGTATTTACATGCAAGACTCCAGGCCAAACGTTTATATACATTATGTCATTTAATCCTCAAAACCACTCTATAACTTTAAGATTATTGTTATCCCTACTTTACTCCTGAATAGACTGAGTTTAGAGACTGTTTTATGAAATCTTGCCAGTGAGCGAGCAGAGGAGCCAGGGTTTGTACCTGTCAGATTTCAGAGTTCCACACAGAACCGCCCAGGAATCTAAGTCAGGAATAGACTTAAAGGAATAGCCCCTGACTTTTAGATCAGAGAGGCTTATTGGCTCTGGAGGGTCCCACAGCCCATCCTTGTCGTTGCTCAGATGAAGAAGCTGAGCTCCCAGAGGTGGCAGGACCCAATTCAGGAGGAGCTGAGCCTAGATCTCAGCCTCCTGACACCAGGGTTCCAGCCTCACTCCCCGGCCCCATGCTGTGAACGGGCACTCCCTGGACGGAAGAGGCAGGAAGGGGGTTCTCTGGACATCCTGGGGGAGTCAAACTTACTTGCCAAGAAGGAAGGAGAGGCCCGTACCTGAGAGGACACAGATGACCAGGCAACAGGACAGGAAGCAGAGGGTTCTGAGGTCCATGGTGAGAGACCTGGAGCTGATGTGGCCGCAGGAGCTGCAGGGAACAGACTGTTGGGGCTGGCAAGGTGTGAGCAGGGGAAGTAGTAGCAAGGGACCCCTGGGAGTGGGAGGGGAAGGGACCTGATTTCAAAGGCAAATCAAAGGCTTGAGTCCTGGCTTCTCCAGGACTCCAAACAAAATTCCTTCCTCTGGGCCCCCCCTTGCCAAGGTGAATGGAGCTATTCAGAGCCCTGCTCAGGAAAAAACAGTCCTGCTGCCAGGAGATGAGGGTCCTCAAGGCCAGACAGGCAGAGCTGGGAGGCAGCTGGAGGGGCCATGAAGGTCACAGAGGGCCACAGAGGAAGAAGACAGGAAGACGTGAGGACGAAATATGGATAGAAGGGGGGTGGAGCTTGAACTGGACTTAAAGCAGGGCTTAGCTACTGCCCCAGGGCCACATCTGTTGGCCACGGTGTGAGCTAAGAATGGTTTGAATGTTTTTAAATGGTTAAAGAAAAATTGGTGACACATGAAAATTATAGGAATTTCAAATCTCAGTGTCCAAAAATAAAGTTGTGTTGGAAAAGGGCCATGCTCACACTCCTGTGGACTGTCTGGGCTGCTTTTGCACCACGACGACGACGACGGCAGAATGGAGCAACTGTGACAGCGACATGTGGCCCACAGAGCCCAAAATCTCTACGGCCGGTGCCTCTGCCAAAAGGTTTGTTAACCTGGCTCTAAAGACTGGCATTTCTAAAGAATAATTCGACTTAAGTAAATAATCTATACTAATAAAAGGGTACTATGCTAATTAGACCGGACGTCTTCCAGATGTCCTTCCTGACAAAGCCACAGTGTATGCGAGGACACTCAGCAGGAGAGGGGGCAGCAAGGTCCCGGTCCCAGTGTTGCCCTTTCCGGAGAAGCAGCCACAGAGGCATTGGTGCGGGCCCCGGTGCCATGCCTCCACAGAGGCTGGACAGGGTGCCATATGCTGTCCCTCAACCTCCCACAGCCCCTCCTCTAAGCCAGCCTGGCCCAGATCGCCCACCACCCACCAGTGGGTGGGGGCAGGGCCAGCATTAAGAAGCAAGACCTAGGGCAAACAACAGCAGCAGCGGGGTGATGGGGGCGGCGCCTTCCCCTCATCTACCCGGACACCTCCTGCAGAGGGAGGTCAGATTTCGGCTTACACCTTTTCCCCACATAAAGGTCAGACACCATTTTGTAGATCTGAGCCCCTGATGGTGGTATAGGTCTAGGGAGGGAGGTCCTGGCACTGGAGGGCAGTCTGGGACAGGAGGAGGTCTGGGTCAGGGGGGTTGGACCTCTGGATCATGGAATGGTAGTCTGGTCTACTGTGGATATCTGGACCCAGATAAAGGAATAGATACTGGGTTCGAGGTCCAGTCCCCAGGATGGACTTCTGGGCTGCGGCATGATGATCTGGAACCCGGATGT